AAAGTGCTGTGCCTGCCACGAAATCTGCACATGGAGGTTCACAAAGTACTGTGCCTGCCACGAAGTCTGCACATGGAGGTTCACAAAGTGCTGCGCCTGCCACGAAATCTGCACTTCAAGAGACAAGTGAAAACCTAATCACAATGGGCGGCCGACCGAGCATGACCCGAGACCGTCTCGCAACAGTCGTTCCGCAGAGCTAGACTTGCCAGGTTCGAAGCCACCGGCTCTATTGAAAAATACAGCATTTCGAGCGTCCGCTATCTCTCGAAAACGCATTTTGTATTGCACCTGCCACGAAATCTGCACATGGAGGTTCACAAATTGCTGCACCTGCCACGAAATCTGATGAGTGGTGTATGATGAGTGGTGGTTGAACAGCTGTTGAATGTCCGTAACACGGAAGTTCCTTCTAAACTTCCTTTGATTAGGTTGGAGGCCATCGTTAGTAGGAGCAAGTAGCTACTAGTAACAAAGGGCATCGCTACTAGTGGCGAGGATGCTTTTAGGTTGGAGGCGCTCGCTTCTTTGTTTTTCACACATTTGTTGCAGGCCGTCGGAACATCCCTGGTGGTGGTGAGTCTTCCGTGGACGAATTGATCTGGGGCTCGGACGTGGACAACTCTTCAGATCCCCACGTTCTTCAAGGAAAGGCGCAGCAAGAAGCTACTAGGAGCAAAGGGCATCGCTACTAGGAGCAAGGACGCTACTAGGGGCTCCTGGCATTACTACTAGTAACAAAGGAGCAAAGGGCATGACTACTAGCAGCAAGAAGCTATTAGGTTGGTTGCGCCTCCGAAGGCGCAGCTCTTCCAAGGGGCTGCCGGTAGTGCCGGTGTTTGTGGCAGCGCGCGGAGGCACACAGGCAGGGCAGAAAGACGGCACGTGAACCGACCAGAACTGAACAGGTGCCACTATACTGTTGTCTTGGGCCTCCAACCTAATAGCAAACTATATTTAGTAAGGCACCTTGCTGCATTCCTACTAGTAGTAATGCCCTTGACTTATACTAGTTTCTTCTTGCTACTAGTAGTAATGCCAGGAGCTAGTAGTGGCTTCTTGCTACTATATAAGACCTTTTTTCCTCTTGTGTTTTCTTTGTTTCTAATAGCGATGGCCTCCACCCTAGTAGCCATGGCACCCAACCTAATAGCAATGCCTATGGTGCGTTCAGCTACAATATTAGCACGGGCTCTTCCAGGTGTCCTAGAAGTCCAGAAAGGAATAAAGAGTCCTCCAACCTCTTTAGGTTGGAGACCATCGCTACTGGGTAAAGCAGAGGAATAAAGAGACCTCAAGCAGAACGGAATTTACAAAACTCGACAAGCCAGGATCCATCAGAGCACACTTCTCGTTCTGCCTTTGATCAACCCTGTCAGGAAGAAAACCTGAGAAGCTCACATACACATATACACACACTTAGAGATAGAATACGTACGGAGTGCGCCGCCTCCCCTATGACAGCAAAAAGATTGCCTGAGTAAACCAGGTTAACCCTCCGCAGTGGTGTGTGGCCGTCCAAGGTTGGAGTTCGAGGCTCGAATGAAGAGCAACTCCACACGATCGACGAGCACTTGTTTGTAGAATGCATATGACTATGGCTGGTCGTTTTGCTCTTTAAAAGCACGGGTCAGAGGGAAGTGAAAGTCAATCGAGCAGGTACGTTTCGATGAGGCTGCTTGACCCTCTTCGGATCGACAGTCCAGTCAGTGATTTGCCGTGTAAAAAGGTCTAAAGACTGAAGACTTCAGGGCTCACACACCTTAACCCCTCAGGCGGCTGAGTGACCTCCTACCTTCTCAGTCTTTCCGCTCGTTTGTGCATCTACAGTTCTGTTCTGTAACAGTTTCTTGCTATTAAGATGGAGGCCATCGCTATTAGGTTGAAGGCCATCTCTGGGCATCGCTAGTAGGTTGGAGGCCATCTCTAGTAGATTGGAGGCCATCGCTGCTAGGTTGGAGGCCATCGCTAGTAGGAGCAAGGACGCTATTAGGGGCTCCTGGCCTTACTACTAGGAGCAAGGAGCTACTAGCAGTAGCAATAAAGAAGGCCGTCGGAACATCCCATTGCTATTAGGTTGGATCCACCATCACCCTTAGGTTGGAGGCGCTCGCTTCTTTGTTTTTCACAAATTTGTTGCAGGCCGTCGGAACATCCCTGGTGGTGGTGAGTCTTCCGTGGACGAATTGATCTGGGGCTCGGACGTGGACAACTCTTCAGATCCCCACGTTCTTCAAGCAAAGGCGCAGCAAGAAGCTACTAGGAGCAAAGGGCATCGCTACTAGGAGCAAGAACGCTACTAGGGGCT